TCACCAATGGGAGAAATTCTTAAATCTAAATGTTTGGAAAGGAATACGTTTCTACTAAAACATACAAACCTCTTATATTATGATGAAAAAAGGATAGACATCTGATATGTATATATGCCACATATATAAGTTATACGAAATGAGCATATTTTATTAATTTATCGAAAATTTGGACGAAATCAATGGGTGGTACTGAACAACCAAAATCTTCTTTTTAGATATTTTTCAGGGTAGAAATATTATCAATTGATATTGGAAAACATAATTAACCATATTTTATTGAGAAAAGGGAATGAAAAAAATTATCAAATGAATATATATAATTGTCACGGACGTCCATACGTTATTCTAATGAGATAGATATTCCTTTCGCCAGAATATTCTCTTTGACTGTGATAATTGTCTAAAATGTTGGCGGCAGTCTTGAATTTTCATCAAGAAGGAGTGCGATTCGTGCTGGACAATGCGGTTCAAAATTTGTAGAATGTCCATATAAGTCTATGTGCCGAGAATCTAGTAAGAATATATATATGATCGTGAACTTTCGGACCCATTATTGACTGGGCTAACCGATGTCAACGTGATACCAATGCTGTCCTGATTCGCGAAGTTGCGACAAGATTCGTTACTAAGAATTTCTCCATCTAAAATGTCACTCGACTTTTTGGCAATTAAAAGTCCCTGCCTGCTGCATTTAGTAGTCATATATTGTCATGTGCATAATTTTGAAACCATATCCTAATTATTTCACAAACCCTTTGTTGATTCTGCAATAGTTTCCAATTTGTAAACAGCATTTATAGCCTTTTTAATTGGGAACTTTTTTGAAATTTCCAAAATGGCTGCCATGTGATTCCAGAATTGACATGAGTGTGACGTGACATCACAGTTGCTCGTTCCTAGGTAACAACAAGATCACAATTGCTCGTTTCTAGATAGCAACAAGATTTTTGATAAAATGGCACAGAATTACCCTGATTAACACCCTTAAAATCCGATTTTCAAAGAATATATTTGGAGAAACAATAAAAGGTAAGTGGAATAAATTAGAAGATGGTTTCAAGTTACCACAGAAGTCAATTTGAAACTCAAGAATGCTTTCTTTGACTCATAATCACAAAAAAGTCGAGTGACATTTTAGCTGGCGAAGAACTTAAGACATTTAATTTTTTAATTTTCGGAGAACTGGGTTTCGGAGAACTGGGTTTCGGACAACTGGGTTTCGGAGAACTGGGTTTCGGACAACTGGGTTTCGGACAACTGGGTTTCGGAGAACTGGGTTTCGGACAACTGGGTTGACCCCACGGTGCATTATATCTGATTAATCAGTATCTGAAAGTTTGATTTAAGTACTTTTACACGCTTTTACAATTATAGTCCAAATCACGCAAATCCCTTGGATGTCCCGGGACATCCTGCAAATTTAGGTGGATGTCCCGCGAAATCCCGCAAATTTAGGGCACTTTTTCTAGAAAATCTGTCCCTCTATGAAGTTTTTGCTGGTAAACCTGTTAACTGTCCCGCAATTAGGGTGTTTGTCCCTCGAATGGTCCCGCGAAATCCCGCGAATTTGATAAAAAAAAATTGGCCTATAAGCGCAATCACGCAAATCCCTTAAATGTCCCGCGAAATCCCGCGAATTTAGTAGATGTCCGGCAAAATCCCGCGAATTTTGGGCACTGGGTCTAAAAAATCTGTCCCGCGAGAAAATCTTTGGGGGTTGACAGTACTGACCGAAACCCATTATACTGACGCACATTGTACCGAAAAACAATATACATGTACCGACGGGCATTGTAGGGAAATCCGTGCGCGTTGTACCAAAAAACATCACTGCATCCAGACCCGTAGCCAGGATTTGCCAAGGGGGGTTCAGTTTTCAAAAATTACCAGGGGGAGTTCACATTTGACAATTTGCCCAAATATGGCTAAAATCACTTGAGAAGTGCTCAAAATGGTGAAAAACTGCATGATTTTGAAAGACTTTCAACCCTGCGAAGTCCCCCTGGCTACGGGCCTGACTGCACCAACACCATGATTTTGTGATGTAAAAAGGCTTGTAATGGAAGATGTATGATAAGATTAGAAGAGTTTGATAAGTATTATTGAAAATCATGCACATTTAATCAGGAAGACCAGGCAAGAAATAACAACACCCTAAATTCACAGCCCAAGTCAAACCTTCATGTACAAGTTGTAAGTCTGCAAAGATGTCATTTATTTATTATTAAGTTTAGTTTGGATCAAATAAATGTAGATTTAAGAATATAATGCATTTCATATCATAAACAAAAGATGTCCATAATGTTGATAGCTTGCAAAGATATTTTGTGATAGTATTAAAGTTCTGTGCGTAACACTTAATTTCTCAGTCCGTGAACATTTGGTTTGATTTTGTTATGAATGAGATTAAAGAGCACTAAACAAGCTTTCCAATATGTACATGTGGCTCGCTATTTCAAATCATATGTAATATTGTCAGTCAGCAAAAAATGTTTTGTCATCTATTAATAAAGTTCAATGGATAACAGTTGAATTGATTCACTTCTGTTAGAAAGGTGACTAAAAAAAGGTGGTCCACCCATGTAGATCAGCGGTAGTGCAGGTACCTCTTACGCAATAGATCCCGGATTCGATCCCCGGTTCAGGCAAGACTAAATTTGCTTGTTTGCGTGAAGTACTTCAGGGTGTTTGACTGAGTGGTCCGCAACTCGTACAAAAGGCTGTGGTGTGTACTTGTATGTCTATGTATAAGTGCACATAAAAGAACACAGGGCTCCTTCAAGGAGGGGTTTCTGGGTCTATCTTCCATGTTAATTACGTAAATTACGACCGTATATATACGGGACCAGGGCTGTCAACTTGGGACCACCTAATATGAGTGACTTCAAAATGTTGGACACCTAAGTCCAAATCTGAACACTTTTGTCCAAATTTTGAACACCTTTGGCCAACTTTTAAACACCTTTGGCCAAAGTTTGAGCACCTTTGCCAAACTTTGATCACCTCAAATTTTTCGCGCTCGCTACACTCGCGATATCGTCAACGGGGGGGGGGGGGGGGGGGGGGGGGGTAGGGACGAAAATTTCCAATGAACATGCGTGACATATACGGGATTCGCGTGACAAATCCGAACAAATTGCGTTCGGTTTTTTTCAGACGTTCGTATTTTTACCGTATCGTAAACATATTTCGAAAAAATTTCTACAGAAATATTTTTGCGTGACAATTACCAGGTAAAATGCGTATTTGCGTGACATTTTCTGTCACGCAAAAAAAACTGGCGTGACTTCAAATTCTTCAGCAAATGCGTGACAAATACGCAAATTGCGGGACAGTTGACAGGCCTGCGGGACATACCCAAGAGGTATTGCTCACCTTCATTGGTGGTAAACAAAATACAATACAATACAATAAAGAAGACATTAGGTAAGCTTTCCAATGGTGCATTGAGCGTTGTACATGTTGCTAGGAATTTCAAATCATAAAAATGTATGTAATTTTGTCAGTTCGTCATAATGTTTCATTATCTATTACATAATCTGTTACATTAAATTTCAATTCAATTTACTGTATTTTCTTTTAGATTTTTATCCCGTTTTTCTGCCCTCGAGAAGGGATCCTTGAATTAAAAGCTAGACAACACGTAATAAATGTTAGAATTGTGGCAGCAACATTTTTTATTGGCCTCCATTTTCGAAGATTGTTCTATATCAGACATCCTATGGCCATTAGGCGTATTCCTATAAAATATTGAGTTGTTTTCCAAATAATAGACGGACAAACAGACAAACAAATGGGCAGCTTTTCTATCTCTGAAGACAGGTTGTTCTAGTCTCAAAATACATGTTTTCTCGTTTGTTAAGATTTTCGTCAATTCTAATGATTGAATATGTATCAAAACTTAAAAACTGTGTAATATTTTACTCCAAATAAACTTTAAATATGTGTTCGCTAATTTGTCTATCAGTATCAATTAAGTTGGGCTTGCATTGTCTCTTTAAAGGTTACACGCAGATAGTTACATGCAGGAAAACTTTACAATGTGATCAGTATTATGGCATTCGGTATTAATAACGCCTTTCGGTACAATACACGTCGGTATAATTGGTTTCAGTATAATGCGCCTCAGTATAATGGGTTTCGGTATAATGCATGTCGGTAATATGGGTTTCTGTATAATGTGCGCCGGTACAATCGGCTTGGGTATAATGCACGGACCCCATTGTAAGCATGCAAAGCTCAGCTGTCTGGGAATGCCCTGTGAACGAGAATGCCCCTTGGTGCCCCAGCTACCTGTTTCGGAAAATTATTCAACATGGTCTCAAAAATCACCTCGCCATCTCTAGAAATTCTTTTACTATTACTATCTTGGAAATGTTTACTAATAGGTTAGTACTTACCCTATCGGGAATAATACTCTATTTATTAAACATTAGATGGCGCTGTGCTTGTCATCATGCCAGATTTTAGAGTATGATACTCTGGCACCATTTTCAATAGCTTTTACTTCAAGCATTATTGGACTTCAAACAGAAGTGATCGGTTATCCAGGGGCATAGCCAGCTTTCAGTCAGGGGGGTGTGATCGCCAAAAAAGTTTTTTGTTTTCAGGCAGGGGGGTGTGATTGTGGCTAACAATTAGCCAAAAATAAGATTTATTTTGAATTTTACAAAAATTGAGCTAGAATCTAGAAAAAACATTTTAAAGCTCTTTTCTTCTTTCTATATGCCTATGTTATCCACAAATAATGTACTCATTGCATGGAGTAGTTAATTATCTTTGGAATAAGGAAACATATGAGTCAAAAAATAATCTGTGAAGTTTTCTTAGTGTTTTCTATGTTTTATTGGGGATTTCCCAATTTTACTTGCGCATTTTACATATGCAAATAATTCCACATTTATATGATTCTCAATAATATGAGTACTGTATTACAGTCTTAGAGATTAAATATCTAAGGATGGGGAATAATAAAAATTTCACTTTTGTATTTTCAGTGTACATCTATGTACATGGAATGTTGCAGAGACAAGGCCACCAAAAGATCTTACTGCTGTACTAGGATTGAGTGGTGAACAGAAGCCAGGCTTAACAGCAGTAGGGTAGGTGACACCGTGTATATATGTAACAACTCGGCTTTGGGACTAATAGGACATGTTATAGTTGTTAATATGATTTTAGAAAATCACACATTTGATTCTATCAAATAAAACAGGAAAATACAATCTGAAGTTTGAAAACTCTGTTGACTTACATGTACATGTTATCAGAAAATCTTCAACAGTAGAATTTGATGCAAAACAATAAGTCAAACATAGAATTTGAGTGGAGTGGAGGATTATGGTAAAACTTGGGGATGAAATGTTGAGTGTTTCCAGAAGACAAAATCACAAATATAATTGATAAACATGAACTGTACATATCTCCACAAAAAGTATTGACACTCTTTGGAAAGATTGCCCTTCTAAACTCACATATAGCCTAAGTTGCTTGTCTGTTCATTTTGTAAATCCATACTTGTAAATCCAATAATTTGTCTCAAAAATTCAAATACAGTTCAATCTGAGTTATTCTTTCTCAAAAGTATTATTCTTTCTCAAAAGTATTATGCTTTCTCAAAAGTATTCACAAATTCAATGATGAACATTCAGGTCAAAGAAGCATACATGTTTCCAGTTTTTAAGTGTAAATGTATGTCAACGTGTCATATATTCAAGTATAGAAAAAACAGTAACTGTATAATTATTATACTTTTAGTGTTTGTATATAATTTCTGACTTTTTGGATAAAATGAATTTTGTTTTTCCAAAGGTAACAACCATTTCATAGATCATAAAACAATGAACTTACATTTCTTAATCCACAACATGTATCATGTTTCAAGTATTCTTGTAATGTAAGATCCATCAAAAACTGTTTTGAAGAAAATGTTCATTTTGTATCATTTAAGGATTCAGGAAATAGCTTTTGCTGAAGAATGGCTGGAGAGTCTAACAAATACAGCTGCATCAAAGGGATATGTGCGAGTAAGTAAATGTTAACATTAAAGAATATGTCATCAAAGGGATATGTGCGAGTAAGTAAATGTTAACATTTGGGCATTTTACAAGGTTGCCAGATTGCCCCTTTGTGCTATATGCTGGCTTCTGAGGTCTTAGCCTTGCGTTGCAGGCAAGATTTAGAGATAAAAGGTATTAAACTTCCCAATCAAAAATATATTACCATTTTACAATATGCAGACGACAGATTCTTTGAACAAGTGTCTAAATGTATTCCAAAGATTTGCTGAATTTTCTGGTTTAAAAGTAACTTACAATAAAACAGAAGCAATGTGGCTAGGCCGTAGTGAATATAAAACTGATGAACACTTTGGGGTAAAATGTAAGCTATTTCCAAATAACAATATTAAAATTCTAGGTGTTATTTTATCTACACGCAAAAAGGTAGTTGAAATAGAGGAAAATTTAAGTTCCAAGTTCACAAAATGTGAAGCTACATGTATTATGAAAAGTTGGTGTCAAAGAAATCTCACAATTCTAGGTAAAATCACCCTGGTGAAATCTCTTCTGAGTTCACAATTTCTGTATTTAATGCAAGCATTTGTAATTCCAGATAAAATGTAAGATCGTATTAACTCTCTATTTTTCAAATTTGTATGGGCAAAAGGAAGGTACAAAGAAGATGACATTAAAAAAAACTCCTGAAAGAGTTAAAAGAAATATTTTGATTCAAAAGTTTGAAGATGGTGGTTTAGAGATGTTAAATATGAATCATTTACAAAGTGCTCTTTTGTTAAAATGGGTCGCACGTCTTGCAAGTCCAGGATCTGGTGCCTGGCGGCATATTCCTATGTTGTATTTTAACAAGTTAGGGAAAAGTTGTAGTGTCAGCTCTGTAGGTACAGTATTAGGGAGTTTTTAGGCATTGTACATATTAAGAATCAGTTATACCATACTTTGTTAACTGTTTGGTTAGCAAATAACCAGAAGACATTACCAAATGATAATTTATGGAACAACAAATTATTTTTGTACAGAAATAAGCCTTTATTTTTTGGTCTAATTTTGGAATTAGTTTTGTAAGTGACATTATTAACAAAACTGGTCAGTTATTTTCATATCAGGAAATTTCTAACATAATCCCCAGGAACGGTCTCACTTGGTTTGAATATTCCACATTGCGTCTTGTGCTTCAGAAAGATTTTCCACTTCACTCAGAGATTATCTATTTTAATAAAATTAACATTTTAAAATTAACCTCAAAATGTATAAGTAGCGAGATAAATAGTGACATAAAAAAGGGCGAAAGCGCCGAAAACGGAACAAATCGTGGAACTTTCCATATATGACCAGACAACCTTCCTGGCTGTAAAAAGCAACTGTGCGGAAAATTTCTTCCATTTTTTATCTACTTTTCGCAATTTTTACCCCTACCACTAAAATTTATAGGTGTAGGCTTAATGACCATCCATAACATTTTAGGATTATCATTAAATAGTACCATAATTTCAATGTTGGGACCTTTTACCATGATACACATGATAATGGGTGAGATTGCAGTCAATTTTTAGCAAAATGAATATTTACCTATATTTAATTAATTCGTTTTATCTCTTTTCCATAGTGGCATATACTTCGACATAATAAACAATGTAATTCTAATTGAAAATAAAGTTTGACAAACTATGTGACATCTGATGAGTGACTTGAATGCAAATACAGAATAATCTAGCAAAAGGTGTATCTTTCTTAAACAAATACCAAAATCACTTCTTGTTTTTGACAAGGTCATGCTTGAATGACAATGGGCATCAACGTTTATGATAGGATCTTGATCAGTTTTTGAAAGTATGATTTCGACCTACATGATTAATAAAAATAATCGAGAATTAGTTCTGCTTATTTTGCTGAACTATTTTGAAATATGATATTGTTGGTCTAATAAGGGCAGTTTTGAATTAAGAAGGAGTGTTATGTGTATTGGGAGGGGGTCTTGTTACTTAGGTAGATTTCAGGTAGATAACCAATCAATACAATTTTGCCTCTTGATTTTGAATCTTGGATAGATACCCAGCAGAGTGAAGACACAGGGTCACCTATATTCAAATTCTGGTACATGTTACTCCAATAACAAGTTCTGTGTCTAACAAATGTTAGAGCTATGAGACTTGGGGACTTCAAGCTCTACAAAGAAACTATCTTCAAAATCATGACATGGTTTTTCTCCCTGGATCATACCAATTATGCCTGCTGGGTACCTGTCCATGTAAGTGATATGGTTCAGTTCAAAGAAATCCACCCTGAAGTTCACAATGCTTTCATGAAGGGGCATTTCACTGTCAGCAAGTCAAGAAGAAGCTTCTCCTCCATGTCAATAGACCAAGCCCATGAGCAAAATAATAGTGTGATCAAAAGTGAGGGTCGAGCTGTGGGGTTATTCGACAATCCAACCACATTACAGAAGTGGATGGTCGGTGGTCCAGAGATGGCAAGAATGTTAACTGAGTTTGAGAATGAGATGAAGGATAATGATGATGAAGTCCTTGCAAACCATGAGCACAGTGTTAGTTATCAAACCAGTTTAAAGAAAGATGTCAATTCCCATACTGAGGTTATCAATGATTTAGGAAACCCCTTTATTGCAACATCAAAGGAACTTGGACACTTGATACTAAAGATGTAATGTCGAGCAGTGCAGATGTGCAGACACATTGAACACAATTGAGAAAAAGGGGAAAAGTCAATGTGAAGTATATATAAAGGAGAGAATTATTGAATGATCAAAAGCCATCACAGACCCTATCAAGAGAAACAATTTCAAGATCTTCAAACAACAAAAGAAGAAATCTAACTCAAGTTCAATGCTAGCAAGCTTGAAAAATGACACTGCACTATTTTCACAACTATACATAGCGTGCCAGAATAGAGACGGCAACTCAGATGAACTTTTATGACATGAGAACCAGGCATTCCCTCCATCCCTTTCTCAAGATGGCACAATCAAGACTGGACTCAAAGCAAATATCTTAAAACCATTGGAAGACCTTGTTCCAAATATAGAGATCAATACACCAGATGTTGAAGCCCTGTTTCTTGATGGTGGCAATAGTCCACCTGCTGAAAACTCAAGAAGCAAGAACCTTCCTACAATACTCAAATGACATATTTAATAAGTATGTTGCAGATCAACTTAATAGAGTACAAAGACTTGATATTGTATGGGATCAATATGTACCAAATAGTGTCAAATCTTCAACAAGAAAAAAGCGTGGATCTGGAAAGCGTCAAATAGTTTATCCAGAAAACAAATTGCCAGGGAATTGGCCAGAATTTCTACGCTCGGAAGAAAAGTGATCTCTTTACCTTCCTTGCATCAAATGTCTCAGCCATTCCAGTACCAGAGAATAAAATCCTGATTACAATTGGGAATACTGCAGAGGCATATCCTAAGCAGCATGTTTCTGAGATTTCACCATCATCCCATGAAGAGGCAGATTCCTGAATCTTTCTGCACATACATATATGATGCAATGAAAAAAGGCTTCACAAAAATGATGATTATAATAATAATCTATAAAACAGCTGATTCAGACATTGTTGTTCTGGCAGTTAGTATAGCTGCACAACTTAACATTCAAGTCTGGCTCGCCTTTGGCAAGGGAAAGTCCTATAGATACCTTCCAGCCCACGAAATTGCCCATGTAATGACTCCTCAGAAAGCCATGTGTTCCAATATTCCATGCTATGACTGGATGTGACACCACATCAGGCTTTAATGGAAAGTCTAAGACATCAGCCTGGAACCAATGGAGTACCTACCCTGAATTGACTACAGTATTAACAGAAATCTCAATACGACCCAATACCCTGCTTGATGCCATGCCTATTTTAGAGCGGTTCATTATTCTGGTCTACAATAAAACAATGAAATGAAACATCAATCAATGCTGCGAGGAAGGAGATGTTCACAAAGAGGACTTCAATAATATCACACATTCCTCCAACATCAGATGCCCTTTTACAGCATATGAATAGAGTCATATACTAAGCTGTATTTATTTTGGGGCAACCACTTACAGCGAATCCTCAAGTTCCTTCCCCAGCTGAGTGGGGCTGGATATTTGAAGACACCAAATGGATACCAAGGTGGACAACTTTACCCCAAGCATCAGACGCTTGCCAGGCTCTCATAAAGTGTAGCTGCAAAAACCAATGCATAACAACACGATGCAAGTGCCTGAAAGGAAATCTTGTTTGTACAGAATTATGTGTGTGTGATGGCAATTGTTCTTCATAAGGACACTGCAACATACCAAAAAGTAGCTATGAAACTGATAGACACTAGTATAAATCCTTCTATTGATAAGATTAATAAAACTATGATTTAAAAATGTGTGCAAAGTGAAACTAAAGGAACTATGAAACAGATATATGGACTCTAACTGCACTCAGAAGCCAAAAGAAACCACAAGCCAAACCGTATCTACCATTTTTTCTGTATATCTAAAAGATGGGTGTGACTCAAAACAAGCCTTTAACAGTGAAAAGGGTGAAAAATAATAGTCATGTGAAGCATTAGATATTGATGTAATTTTAAAATCATATATCACTTATTTTATTTACTCCTGCTACTGTGATATGATGCAAAATATTCAATACAAGAAAAGTGGGCGTCGCCCATCACCACCCTTTAACATAGCAATTGAAAATCAATGGTATTTCATATTTTCAGTTCAACATTAACTTCTTAACATGATAAGGTAATATTAAATTTGAAGTATGAGCACAATTTAGTAAAAAAAATTATGTCGAAATTTTTTAGCCCCCCCCCTCCGTGACCATGGGGGGGGTAAGAATTGTAAAATTAGGGTAGTTCCTATGGAGCGATTTTTTGGCACAGTTGCTTTATTTAAAGAGTAGCAATCAGTGATCATTTAAGGAAAGTTTCACGATTTGTTCCGCAAACGGCGATTACTTTACACTATTTATCCCGCTAAAGATCCAAAATAGTGGATCAACTTAATATTGAAAGGAATCTTTTTGTTAATAAAGCAAAGTGGCTCGTTGCCAAGCAAGTAACAAAAGATACCCAACTCATCACTATGCAATGGAAAATTTTACAGGGTATATACCCCACAAATGTTATTTTAAAGAGGTACAGAATTAAGGAATCTGAAGTTTGTGACTTGTGATAACAAAGATAATACGGCACACTATTTTTTTAATTGTACACGCACGAAAGCCTTTTGGGAAAAAGTAGATTACAAACTCAAGGTAAAAGATGTAGTTTATGGGGTTGAAAATAATAATGATTTGAATTTAAAAATTCTTCTAGGTAAAAGGATATTGAAATAGCAAATTTTTCAAAAGTAGATATTTTCAGTGTATATGAATCACTTAATTAAAAAATTCTTCCTTTTTTGTATAATTGCATTCCATGTATGTAAATATGTTTTTGGGCAATAATTAAAAAAACAAAAACATTAAAGAATATGTCAAAATATATTGAGCATGAACATACACTTCTATTTCTATTTATTCATGAATGATATTATCAGACTGTGCTTTATAATATTAGCCAGTCTTTAGAGAGAATTGATTGACTGATAATTCGCAACAGATCATAGCCTGTTTAAGATATAGATTGTACATTATAGTTTGTACAGGGTGACCCAAAAATGCAACCCTCTCATTTTGGAACAACATTAAAATGTTTCTGTAATATACCCATTACACAGGAAAATTAATGTAAATTCCATCAATCAAGAAAGTTGGATTTCTAAAATAGGGTTACAATTTTAGATCATACTGTACAATGAATATTTCAGATAAAGGAGCGTCAGATGCAAGGTATTTATCTCATGATGTTTGCACTGAGGGAACATATTCTCTACATCCAAAACATAGAGTCTGAAATCACACAGACAGGCCTTGGAGGACTCTGGGTAATCACCTCTTTTACTTATTTCATTGCAACCTTATGTAAAGGACTTGTCTCAATGGTTCCAATCTAAATTGTATGCATAGGCTGCTCAAACACACAGCCACTCTTGTCAATTGATTTATGGAACTGTGAATTTTTCTTTTATGAATAAATTCATGACAGAAACTCTTTGTTCAATATGAATATGTTCTCATTCATTAATAAAGTTATTGTATTTAAGTATATTTTGTTGACTTTGATGTTCTGTTTTGATTTTTGTTATTCAATGTTCTATTTTAGGGTAACAAAGGTGGCATTAGCATCAGGTTTGACATCTATGGTGTCAACATGTGTATAGTCAACTGTCATCTAGCTGCTCATCTTCACCAGCTCAATGAAAGAATAAATGTAAGTGAAATGCAGTACCTAGAAACTTAAAAACTTATTATGGGGAGGTGCCTATTGATTGTCTGTCTGCAGATCTGTCCTTCCATTCATCCATCAAACAGTGTCTTTCCATCTGTGAAATCTGCCAAACTGTCCATCCATCAAACAGTGTCTTTCCATCTGTGAAATCTGCCAAACTGTCCTTTCATCCATCCATCAAACAGTGTCTTTCCATCTGTGATCTGCCAAACTGTCCTTCCATCCATCCATCAAACAGTGTCTTTCCATCTTTGATATCTGCCAAACTGTCCTTCCATCCATCCATCAAACAGTGTCTTTCCATCTGTGATATCTGCCAAACTGTCCTTTCATCCATCAAACAGTGTCTTTCCATCTGTGAAATCTGCCAAACTGTCCATCCATCCATCAAACAGTGTCTTTCCATCTGTGAAATCTGCCAAACTGTCCTTTCATCCATCCATCAAACAGTGTCTTTCCATCTGTGAAATCTGCCAAACTGTCCTTCCATCCATCCATCAAACAGTGTCTTTCCATCTGTGAAATCTGCCAAACTGTCCATCCATCCATCCATCCATCCATCAAACAGTGTCTTTCCATCTGTGAAATCTGCCAAACTGTCCTTCCATCCATCCATCAAACAGTGTCTTTCCATCTGTGAAATCTGCCAAACTGTCCTTCCATCCATCCATCAAACAGTGTCTTTCCATCTGTGATCTGCCAAACTGTCCTTCCATCCATCCATCAAACAGTGTCTTTCCATCTTTGATATCTGCCAAACTGTCCTTCCATCCATCCATCAAACAGTGTCTTTCCATCTGTGAAATCTGCCAAACTGTCCTTTCATCCATCCATCAAACAGTGTCTTTCCATCTGTGAAATCTGCCAAACTGTCCTTTCATCCATCCATCAAACAGTGTCTTTCCATCTGTGAAATCTGCCAAACTGTCCATCCATCCATCCATCAAACAGTGTCTTTCCATCTGTGAAATCTGCCAAACTGTCCTTTCATCCATCCATCAAACAGTGTCTTTCCATCTGTGAAATCTGCCAAACTGTCCATCCATCCATCAAACAGTGTCTTTCCATCTGTGAAATCTGCCAAACTGTCCTTTCATCCATCCATCAAACAGTGTCTTTCCATCTGTGAAATCTGCCAAACTGTCCATCCATCCATCAAACAGTGTCTTTCCATCTGTGAAATCTGCCAAACTGTCCATCCATCCATCAAACAGTGTCTTTCCATCTGTGAAATCTGCCAAACTGTCCTTTCATCCATCCATCAAACAGTGTCTTTCCATCTGTGATCTGCCAAACTGTCCTTCCATCCATCCATCAAACAGTGTCTTTCCATCTGTGAAATCTGCCAAACTGTCCTTTCATCCATCCATCAAACAGTGTCTTTCCATCTGTGAAATCTGCCAAACTGTCCTTCCATCCATCCATCAAACAGTGTCTTTCCATCTGTGATATCTGCCAAACTGTCCTTTCATCCATCCATCAAACAGTGTCTTTCCATCTGTGAAATCTGCCAAACTGTCCTTTCATCCATCCATCAAACAGTGTCTTTCCATCTGTGAAATCTGCCAAACTGTCCTTCCATCCATCCATCAAACAGTGTCTTTCCATCTGTGAAATCTGCCAAACTGTCCTTTCATCCATCCATCAAACAGTGTCTTTCCATCTGTGAAATCTGCCAAACTGTCCTTCCATCCATCAAGCAGTGTCTTTCCATCTGTGAAATCTGCCAAACTGTCCTTCCATCCATCCATCAAACAGTGTCTTTCCATCTGTGAAATCTGCCAAACTGTCCTTTCATCCATCAAACAGTGTCTTTCCATCTGTGAAATCTGCCAAACTGTCCTTTCATCCATCCATCAAACAGTGTCTTTCCATTTATGAAATCTGCCAAACTGTCCTTTCATCCATCCATCAAACAGTGTCTTTCCATCTGTGAAATCTGCCAAACTGTCCTTCCATCCATCCATCAAACAGTGTCTTTCCATCTGTGATCTGCCAAACTGTCCTTCCATCCATCCATCAAACAGTGTCTTTCCATCTGTGAAATCTGCCAAACTGTCCTTTCATCCATCCATCAAACAGTGTCTTTCCATCTGTGATCTGCCAAACTGTCCTTCCATCCATCCATCAAACAGTGTCTTTCCATCTGTGAAATCTGCCAAACTGTCCTTTCATCCATCCATCAAACAGTGTCTTTCCATTTATGAAATCTGCCAAACTGTCCTTTCATCCATCCATCAAACAGTGTCTTTCCATCTGTGAAATCTGCCAAACTGTCCTTTCATTCATCCATCAAACAGTGTCTTTCCATCTGTGAAATCTGCCAAACTGTCCTTCCATCCATCCATCAAACAGTGTCTTTCCATCTGTGAAATCTGCTAAACTGTCCTTTCGTCCATCCATCAAACAGTGTCTTTCCATCTGTGAAATCTGCCAAACTGTTCTTCCATCCATCCATCAAACAGTGTCTTTCCATCTTTGAAATCTGCCAAACTGTCCTTCCATCCATCCATCAAACAGTGTCTTTCCATCTGTGAAATCTGCCAAACTGTCCTTCCATCCATCCATCAAACAGTGTCTTTCCATCTGTGAAATCTGCCAAACTGTCCTTCCATCCATCCATCAAACAGTGTCTTTCCATCTGTGATATCTGCAAATCTGTCCTTCCATCCATCCATCAAACAGTGTCTTTCCATCTGTGAAATCTGCCAAACTGTCCTTTCATCCATCCATCAAACAGTGTCTTTCCATCTATGATATCTGCCAAACTGTCCTTTCATCCATCCATCAAACAGTGTCTTTCCATCTGTGAAATCTGCAAATCTGTCCTTCCATCCATCCATCAAACAGTGTCTTTCCATCTGTGAAATCTGCCAAACTGTCCTTCCATCCATCCATCAAACAGTGTCTTTCCATCTGTGATATCTGCCACACTGTCCTTCCATCCATCAAACAGTGTCTTTCCATCTGTGAAATCTGCCAAACTGACCTTCCATCCATCCATCAAACAGTGTCTTTCCATCTGTGATATCTGCCAAACTGTCCTTCCTTCCATCCATCAAACAGTATCTTTCCATCTGTGATATCTGCAAATCTGTCCTTCCATCCATCCATCAAACAGTGTCTTTCCATCTGTGATATCTGCAAATCTGTCCTTCCATCCATCCATCAAACAGTGTCTTTCCATCTGTGAAATCTGCCAAACTGTCCTTCCATCCATCCATCAAACAGTGTCTTTCCATCTGTGAAATCTGCCAAACTGTCCTTTCATCCATCCATCAAACAGTGTCTTTCCATCTGTGATCTGCCAAACTGTCCTTCCATCCATCCATCAAACAGTGTCTTTCCATCTGTGAAATCTGCCAAACTGTCCTTTCATCCATCCATCAAACAGTGTCTTTCCATCTGTGATATCTGCCAAACTGTCCTTTCATCCATCCATCAAACAGTGTCTTTCCATCTGTGAAATCTGCCAAACTGTCCTTCCATCCATCCATCAAACAGTGTCTTTCCATCTGTGATATCTGCCAAACTGTCCTTTCATCCATCCATCAAACAGTGTCTTTCCATCTGTGAAATCTGCCAAACTGTCCTTCCATCCATCCATCAAACAGTGTCTTTCCATCTGTGAAATCTGCCAAACTGTCCTTTCATTTATGGAAACTATCATTTATATCTGAATGAATCCATTTTATAAGTATCCTTGCATGTAATTTACACCAATGATTCTAGCTCTTACTTTTGCCTCCTGTTTTGTTTTTTGTTTTTGCATCATCAACCCTCATCCTTCAGGGAGTTCCATGAAATAGATAAATAAGTTAAATCTATTTTAAATTTGAATACATAGAATAATGGTACTTTCTGCCAATTTACATTCTTACTTTATTCCTGTTCACTTTAGTATTCCTTGCTGGTGGACCATCCTCGTTTCATACATTTCATATATACAGTAATTCATTTTCTCTTGCATTCACCCTTGACACTACAGTTAAAATGTCAATTAGTCATATTTATCAATTATTGTTTCTATTTTCAGGATTTTGAAGATATAATTGAGACACAAAGGTTTAGAGATAAAGATGTCGACTATGTCCTTGATCACGAGTGAGTTAACATCATAAATTCCTTTTTGGCTTCTTCCATATTTTAATACTGTATTCAATTATAAATGAAAGTTCACAAGTCACTCAAATATCTGAATCAGTACAAGATATAGCTTAACCTATCTAATTGTATGCGAGCCATCTCACCTTTTATTTCCAATTTTATGTCACCACCAGAAGTGGTAACATATTGTTGTAGTCTTCAGCTTTTTTGTGTTGTGTATTCGGCAGTTGGTGTCTGTCAACAGTATACAATTGTTGACCTCTCCAAAGGTCAACCGGCAAAATTGTATACCGAGACTGTAAACCGAGAAACTACTGTTGACAGAGACCGAAGGTCGAGGTCAACAGTAGTTTCAAGGTTTACAGTCGAGGTATATGATTTTGACGGTTGACCGAATGGAGAGGTCTACAATTGTTTTGTTAGTCAGAAGAAACTAATAATACACATAGGCCTATAGACGACAGTCGTCAATCATGGCTTCATTTCACAATCTTCTCCCCGAACCCCGCCAGCAATAATCTTTTAAGAAAATCTGAAGACAGTTGAAGCTAAACTCTCTGTTTTCGGCACATAACTGCGTACTCATTAGTAAACTTTAAATGTTAATTTTGCGTTTCTATTTGTATTTTTGCTATACTCGTCGTGTAGAAAAGTATCACTTTCATCAACGTTTACAAAATGTCCGTCTACCATGTTTTTTTCTGTCAGCATTGTGACGTCATATTTCCCATAATTCACAAGTGTAGTACAGTAACATACGCGGTCAATAATATGATATCCCATGATGCACAAGTGAGGTACAGGCAAAAATGTTGACCGCTAATAGACCAATCAGATGCGAGTATTTACAGTGAGGTACTAACAATAACAAATGGCAAATAGTGACGTTTTGCATGTTAATGGGTTCTTCTAATGCTGTCCCTTCTCTACCACTTTTTGATTTTATATTGGTCATTTTCAGCTATGTCTTCTGGATAGGTGATCTAAACTTTAGGATAGAAGAGTTAGACAAAGGGGATATAGAGAACAGAATAGCAAATCAAGACCTCCAATCTATGGCACACCATGACCAGGTAAAATAAAAGATTTTCAGAGAATGGAATGGGAAGGATTGTTGTGCCATATTTTATAAAGCAAAGGAACAGGTCAGAGAGGGGTAATTTAAGTTTAGAATTTCTCTCATTCATGAATTATACTGTATACACATAAAGTCGTAACTGTCATCTCAACTCTCTGAAATTAAACACGAAACATTAACTGGAATTAATCTGAATCAAATTAAACTTCAAGTATTTTTTCTAGCTAAACAAGATACGAAAAGAGCAGATAGCATTCTTAGACTTTGAAGAAGGAAGTGTGAATTTTAATCCAACTTACAAGTATGATACGAATACAGACAATTACGATACTAGGTAAGTTAGAATTTATTATGTGATGGGTCTTTAGCTACGTTCACACCAACGGCGAATGCCATGCTTTAAATCGACGAGCAAAGTGCCGTCATTTTTGTTTACTTTTCCAAAAATGATAAGCTCTGATACGCTCTGATTTCCCGTTTTGTTGCGGTTCCTCATGCTTTGATCCCGCTTCGATCAGGCTTTGTTACGCTTGAAATCACGCTTTGATAATCTTTGATAAGCATTATTACGCTTTGATGCGATTATGACGCTTCAAATCAGGCTCTGATACGATTGCCAAGCTCTGTTGTGCATGGTTACGCTCTGTTAAGCTCTGTCACGCATTTGAAAATGTCGAGATCGCCGAGCTTTTCTACGACCTATTACAACCCGACGCTTTAATCAAGCTTTGTTAAGCTTTCGTGCCGCTTTACAAGCCGCTTTAAAGCGCCACCAAAGCGGCGTTGGTGTGAACGTAATTTAAGTAACCTGTTTGATTTTTATTTCACCACCAAGTATTACAAAACATTCATGTTCTAGTCTTCATTATTGATGACTGTTAGTCATACAGCAGTGGTATATATGTATGGTGACATCTATATTGTAACCATTTGCAGATGATGAGATTTTGTCAATGCCCTGTTTATACTCGTAAATTAAGATACTGTTATGAATCAGATTCAGTTGTGGGAGTTGTACAACAGTACAAATGAATTTATTAAAACTGTAAGCGATTTTTTAATTCACACACAATAAACAGAAACACGAGTAAATAGCTCAAATATATCAGAGTAAAATATTTCATATTGTTTATTCACTTGTGATTGTACATATTAATTATGATGTAAGTTTTGGTTATAGTCTATTTTAACTCATAAACACTTATATGTGTATTTTTAGCAAAAAACAAAGGAAGCCTGCATGGACTGACAGAATATTGTGGATGGTCCATGATGATGCTTTTCAAAATCAAACGTTGAGTGTTGATCAGAGGTCCTATACAAGACTAGATGGCCAGCTATACACTGACAGTGACCATAGACCTGTACAGTCTCAATTCATCATACAAGTAAGTTAAGTTGAAAAATACAAGGATGAAACTTACATGTGAGATATGACTCTGAAACAGTGATTTCACAACATATATTAAGTATGAGTTCCAGTATAGTTTGAGGGTTCTCATAATTATACTGAATTAACTTGAATGTTCTTGAGTCATTAACTTCATTGTCCATATATATGCATCAGGAACTACATTATCTTGTCTTTTTTGCCTCCCAATACAAAATATATTATCTGTCTATTTAGCTAACTTGCTATAAACATTTTCCCTGGACTCATATGCATGGTTATCTATTGCAAGAGCCTCGTACCTAGGATCTGCAATAGGAACCTCATACCCGTCTTGTACATTTTGAATCCCAACTGGATTAAGTGGAGGTGTTTTAATGGAATCATTTGCATTGTTGATCTTCTGTGTGCCTTTATTCTGCTTATTTTTATGTCTCCTGAAAATAGAAATTTACAAATTTGTAATATTTTGAAATCCTTTACAATAACTTATTTATTCATGATAAATACTCTTAAGAAAATTAGTATTGTGTCATTTGTGAACTCAATTAATCAAATAAATGAGTTCTTTTTTGTTTCTTGGGATTTCCAACTGTTTGGATTTGCCATTTTCAAGATTTGATTCAACAATAGCCAAATGTATGTTATGTACTCCGTCAATTTGATAATGTTTTTATATCAACTTATTTCATTTATGAACCTATGAGCTATATTGAATTTATGATTCACCATACCTGAACATGTAAACTATGACAATTATTAGAATCAGTAGGGCCATGAGTCCTAGTACCAAACCCACTATAGCTGAAACAGCAGCAATGCAATGTTCAATAAGTTTTATGAGTTTGGGATATTAGGGCTTGTTACGATCATGACTGACTGTGTTTTGATGCCCCCTTTTCTTGCTGGTGTTTCCCTTTTTGCTAGTTCTGCTTCAGACATATTCAGTGCTTTTTCACACCGTTTGCTATTTGCACATAACTTAATTTTATTATTCCATTTTGTCCCGAACATATGAAATGTCATGTTTATTTATGGTAAATCTTGGAGACATCATAGAATTAATCATCATGCCCGTAGCCAGGTTTTGGTTAGGGGGGGCTAGAACCCCACTCCCCCTATCCACACACAAAAATGTTTTCATGCTTAACCAACTTCGCATTGTGACCACAAAGGTGTTATTAACAAGACACCAGGGTTGGACACGAAAACAAGGGAGGGGACCCAAAAAGTTTCCGCGCTTGCACAGAAGAAAATAAGGGCCCATTCCATTTTGAAAAATGCCCAGTAATTCCCTCATGGTGTTAAAATGACTAGTTAGTTGATTTAGACAGAACAAAATTCGAGCCAAATTATCATGGCCTGTAAAATAATAGCTTGTGAGGGATGTAGCCAGAGGGCATACTTTCCGGAAAATTTATGAGTTTTGGGCTGATTTAGTGCATTCTGAGCGATTCTATGATCAAAATATATGATTTTGAATTTTTAGGCTTATTTTGCGCATTCTGGGCAATTCTGGTGCATTCTGAGCGATTCTAGAATCAAAATGTATGATTTGCTTATTTAAAAAACTGAATTTTACATTTTTTTTAGCGAATTCTGGGCCGATTCTGATGCATTCTGATCGTTCTAGGGATCAAAATATATGATTTACGTATTTTAAAAAATCGAATTTTTAGGCTTATTTGACACGTTCTGAAGGATTCGAGGATCAAAATAGGCCTATATGAATTATTAAAAAATCAGGGGCATGCTCACCTGAAAAAGTTAAGATTTTGGACTGATTTAGTGTGTTCTTGGCGATTCGAGGATCAAAATATATGATTTATGTATTTATATAAAAATTGAATATTTATGCTTATTTGGCGCATTCTGGGCAATTCTGAGCGATTAAAGGATCAAAATATATGATTAATTTCCGAATCATTTAGTTGCCTCGCTGTTCTAGTCAATTCAGAATTTTTAAAGAAAGTGGCAATCACATCAAAATACACCGTACATATGTCACCAAATGTTACCTTCTACCTCGAAATTCTTTAAGAAAGCAAAAAAGGTAGGTCCACATTATTTTAGGAGATATCTGGGGGGGGGGCTCGCACGAGCCCCATGAGCCCCCCTGACTACGGGCCTGATCATAGATATTAATGAATGATTAAAATTCATTAATTGGTGATATTAGGACAAAATAGAGTGTAGTCAAGAATTATATGTACAGTGAAACATGTAAAGGGGAACATTTCAAACTCAAGCTCCCTCTAAGGTGGCATATAACCCTGTTTATTTTTTCGTGAAGCCACTCAATAAAATTATGATTTCTCTGCACCCTGATGTCCAATCAAGATCATTCGAGTATCTATGTGTTCCTGACACGTTCAGGCATCCGGGAATGACAACATCTACCCCAGGTTTGCACACCATATTGACGTAATCTATGAGTGATATCGGAAAAACAAAATGGTGTGATATTCTTTCAAGATTGCATATAATAACTTACAAAATGTTCCCGAGACACAAATCTATTTAAGTAAGGGTTTGTTTTAAAGTCAGAAAGCCCCAATGAGACAATACAAACCCAAAGAAAACCTGGAGGACTGCAGATTTCATGCAATTTTTTACATTCATGTAAACAAGTAAAGTACATCTAATCCCCATATAAAAGACTGGCCTATGTGACATGTACTAACATGTTCAAACTGTATTATAGAACATCAATATACTGTAGCATGCAAACTCTGTGTTGTCATTCTCGAATGTTCAAACGTGTCAGGAACACAAAGATACTCAAATGATCTTGATTGGACATCAGGATGCAGAGAAATCGTAATTCTACTGAGTGGCTTCACAAAAATAAATAGGGTCATAAGCCACGTTAACTTAAGTGAAATAAACCTCTGAAAGAGTAACATTTCCAAATGGAACATTTTGCCAATCCATTATCTTTCATTGCGATGAACTGTTTTGAAATAATTAACAATTCTGAATTTAAAGTTAAAAATAAATACAGTTATTTTCATTATACTCTTATTGTGTATCCCTTGTATTAATAGATTTCATATTTATTACACTACAAACTTTATACTTAGCCAGGCTCAGGAACATTATTAGCAAAGATATACATGTTTGTATGTACCTGGTATATTGTTATGTGTAGGGGTAGAGGGCAATGTTGTATTAGTTGCATGAGTGCCATCTATAGTTGTAAACATAATGGTCCCTGATTTCTCTGTTGTTGATTTTGGCAGTTTGGTTGGTAATGTTGTGGTAGGCGTCGTCGATGTTGTAGTAGGCATAGACGCCAATGTTGTAGGTGACGTCGTCGTTGTGGTAGGCGTCGTCGTCGTCGTCATCGTTGTTGTTTGTGTTATTGTTGTAGTCCTTTTTGTTGTCATTCTTGGTGTGTTTGTTGTAGTTGGTATTGCTGTAGTAGTTGGTTTCATTGTTGTTGTAATTGGTAGGTCATCTATAAAAATATATTGAAAATTACATTGAAGCTTTTGCCCCTCATAAAGCCAATCAATACAAAAATAAGAAATTATGAATTTAAAATGATAAATAGATCCCAAGCGGTTCTTAGTAGGTCCAGTCCGTTCGTACACAGTTGAAGCCCGTTTTCGAGAACGTAGTGAGAACTAGTTTGGTGTGATAGTAGGGTTACATTGGATTTTATACACAATTTATTGGTTGGTAATTTAATAAGTCACTTAACATTATTTTATTTCATCATAGTAATTATACATTATTTTATTTTGATGTTTCAGGTGTTTAAAGAAGACTATCCAAAGCCTCCGATAGAATTTGAAGCAATCACAGGGTGGACTGTTGGGGAAGATGGCACCTGTAAATACACCATAGCTCCAACTTATCAGTTCAATTCATGGGACTGGGTTGGCTTATATAAGGTAAGTAAGATTCAACAAGTCATTGAATGGATATTGAGCAATCACAGGGTGGACAGTTGGGGAAGATGGGACCTGTAAATACACCATAGCTCCAACTTATCAGTTCAATTCATGGGACTGGGTTGCACTATGTAAAATCCTATGATTAATACTTGTGATAACATCTTATATTGATGTTTAATTTGTTGTTTAATCCAATATCACAGAAAGTATCATTCAATATTATAACATCTGATCCGGACTCAAATATCATTAGAGAATGATACCCGATTAAACCAAAATATATTCCAGTTTAACCTGATATAATTTAAGTCAGGATCAGATTAAATAGTATTATACGCATATCATTTTCTATTATAACAGGTTTCAAAGTGGTATAATACAAATTATACATATCATTTTTTGTATAATACAAATTAAACTGGAATATACCGAGACCAAACAGATGATACTGTATTATACGGTTCAGAAATTAATGGCACTTTGTTTTCATAACGTCAGACCTTAATTAAACAAGCTAACGTAAATATTTACATAAGGTAATTCTAGAAGTTTTTTGAAACTCATGTTTGACCATTTGTCTCAGACTGAAATCCGATATTGTTTTTTTGGCAATCGCACCCCCCCCACCCCCCGACTGAAAGTTGGCTACGCCCCTGTACATGGCTAATAGGGGCACTATTACGCTACGTGCAGAGTCTAGTTATATACTACGAGAAGACGAAACCCTCTTTTAAGAAGTGAAGTCGAACGAATGCAAAGGGTAGGGCACTATAGAAGGGGATCATACAAAAGCACAATCTATTTCACAACGCCTTTAACTTTTGCTCTTCAACTGTTGCCCTTTGTGCATTTAAAAAATAAAATATCTTAATCTGATTTGTTTAACCTTTCTTTTCGCTCAGTTCTGCAATATTACGTCCACATGTTATTTAGGCTTACATGCATGTCATTTGCGAAATAGCTGTAAGACATTATGAGAATGAATATGGGAATTTCCACGTAATATGTTGTTCACATGATTATATACACATATCTGCATAACAATCGGAGACAGAAGTCAAAATATTGTCCAATATAGAATCTAACATTTAGTGATAACAAAAGGATTAATTGCTATATAGTTCTCTTTGTCTTAGTCTTTGTTTTCTTAACTGCGGAAGTCTACCAACATCACCTACGTAGATTACATAAGAGATCATCTAACAGTCTAAAATTGCTTTTAATCGCAAGTTAAAGTATTCCGACCAAAAGTTGTATACCTGTAATTTGTGGGGGGGGCGATCTTACATCACATACCTACAACGTTCATATAGAAATATACAATAAGCATGTCGTATAAAAGCTAAAATTATAAATACTCATTTCAAAGTCATTCTGTTCTTGGAAGCGTCAAGAACAACAACAAAAGCAATGCTAAACACTAAAATAAACAAATCGACTTGATTACGTTTGAAAACTTCTTGAGAGGTGATGGACAAATGTATTTTTCTAACTCATTAGAACGTCTGTCTGATTGAAATACTATTTTTTAAATACAAACATAAATGAAGAAATCTTGGTCAGAAGTCTGAACATTGTCCAATGAAATAATAAGAACCTACATTTAACATTTAATGATTACAAAAGGATTAATTGTTATATAGTCTTTGTCTTAGTCTTTGCTTTTCTAACGGTGGAAGTGTACCAACATCACCTTGATTACAGAAGATCTAACAGTCTAAAATTGCTTTTAATTCCTGGGTTTTAATTACATTGTATGAATAGAGTTTTTTGCATCTCTTTTCATTTTAAACCGGACTCTGTTTCCGTATTTAACAATTTATTGTGATAAATTATTTCAGTTAGTTTCGAAATCAAAACAATTTTCTACATTATGGTCCCCTCCTCTTGCACTGACTAAATATTAAAATAAGCCAGTCTGATTGCGAGTTTACAAATCCTATAAAAGTAGCTTCAAACCGCCTTTTAATCAGAGAAAACAATAAGTTAATTCATCTGATTGCGAAAAAACAAATCAATCTAGTTATCTGATCTCCATGCTATTTGATTCGTGCATTATCTACAAGCCAATCGGGCAAGGGTGAAATTATTTCATTTGAAAACAGAAATAAATATTATAACCCCTCTAGCATAACTGTTCGGGAGAAATTCATACAAAAATAAGGTACACAACTGATGAGGGATCGCACGCAATACAGGCACCCCTCTCCTCCTCCTCCGTGTTTGCCCACATACGACCATATTTGATAATTTTTCAAAGGAAAAAGCATTTCCCCCGGGACTATAGGTGTAGCGGTTGCCAGAAGTCGCACAGCTTGGGAGTCAGGGTATCCTGATCCATGCCTCATCGCCTGATTGGTCTGATATTTAGAGGGGGCGCAAAAATGATTAGGGGGGGGGGGGGTAAACGTGGAAGTTGCCAAAATATCCGTGGGCGTATCCAGGGGGGGGGGTTGTGATGGGTGCGATCGCACCCCCGCCCCTTAACAATAAAAATAAAACCCTGAGAAAGAAGAAGAAAGGAGCTTTAAAATGCTGATCAGGCCACAATCGTACCCTCCTGACTGAAAACCGAAAACTTTTTGGCAATCGCACCCCATCCCCCTGACTGAAAGCTGGCTACGCCCCTGATATCTGTTTTTGGTCATCAATAAAACTATATTTATATGGTGAGGATTTATGGGTTTTGATAACAATAGGCTTTATATATGTATAATTAATCCAAATTCATGTTGTATCATGTTGGCTATATCGTTTCAAGTGAAGAATTAAGAACTGAAATCGGGGTTGACTTAGTTTGAGCAGACATATAAAATACATATGTTTTATATGTCTCTGGTTTGAGTCAGGGAACTAAATCTAATCAGACAGACGGATAAATTAATATTTGTTTTAATAAATGAGTATTATAGGTTATAGGCAGGCCCGTAGCCAGGGGAGGGGTTCGCAGGGTTCGGGCGAACCCCCCTGGCCAAAGATTCTTTCAAAATCATGCAGTTTTCAGGGGCGTAGGAAGGTGTAAATTCAACACTACGCCAAAAAATACCGCCAAAACTATGAAACAATTGTGTCAAATATTCTATATCAAAACGCCTATTTTATGCTCGTTAAACGTCATTTTATGGCAATACAGAATGCAATGTTTTCATAACCTAAATGTGAACGGAAATGTTTAAGCGATGCATTTGTATGGGCGATTGGTCATACGTATAGGTTGGCGTTTCGATTTTATATGCAAGCTTAAAATCCTTGATTCCCCTTTTAATGTGCTTAAAATGTTCGAATGATTTTCATCATTTAAAATCGCCATGGAAAATCACAAATCATTCTCACTTCACTTATGTCTCGAACGATATAGACGATCAATTTCCAAATAACAATGAGAGATTTTTAATCATTTTCGAATAATTAAATTGAGATATATAGTATTGTCTGATTCCATCGTGTACCGTGCAATACGACACGTACAGATTAAAGAATCTAGCTTGATCAATTGATTTAGAGTAACGCATTCGTGATCAATGAAACAATTAACCCTAATGTCTGCAACCTTTTTTATAACACTAATTCGCAAGACCAAATAAACTTCCCACCACAAAGGTCAAATCGAGGTCAACGTGACTTAGGGGGTGCCAAAAATGTTATATTTCCTAAAACAATAATCTATTATCTTTCAAATGAAATAAAAATCTAGATAATAGCTTTTCTAGACCTGAAATCGATGGAACGCGTATTTGAGTAATCAACATTTTCAAGTTGTTTTTGTCTTTAACATTCATATTTCAAGAAGTACTACCAATAACAATTGGTGATTTAGTAAGAAAATAGATAATTGCTGACTTAACTATAATTTCTGTCTATGATTTTGCCTAGCAACGGAATATAAATCGATATTGTGAAATTGAAAAATTGGGGGTAGGGGAGAATAAAAAAAATATACATCTCATTTAAAGAGGCTTATCATTATAATTAAACGAGACCACAGTTTGATTGCATAAGCATTACAGAACATGCGCAAAAAATTGCAAAGGTATTCATCAAGTAGTTTTTGAAAAAAACATTTCTTTAGGCTAGTGTGCTCGAGATTACTTTTGGACAATACAATGAGAAAATATGAATAAAGAACATAGGAAAATTAATAAGCCTTTTTATTCTCACTTTTCAACACTACGCACTGGCGTTTTGGCGTACATTGTTCCTACGCCACTGGTTTTTCACCATCTTGAGCATTTCTCGTGTGATTTTAGCCATATTTGGACCAAAATTGTCAAATGTGAACCCCCTAGACATTTTTGAAAACTGCCCCCCCCCCCTTGGCAAATTCTGGCTACGGGCCTGGGTTATAGGCAGTATCATGGGAACCAAGGAAGTGTGTATTATTTTCTGTTTACTTCGGAATTCAGTGAACCATCTGTAGATTGAAAAACAAGGATCAATAAATACAACTACTCAAAATCAAACATTAGAAATCTATTTTTGACTGGACACATTTTTGTTCTCGAATGCCAACTTTGATTTGAATGATTTTAATCAAATAAGTAGGTGTGAATATTTTTGAAACAAATGCGTGATATATACACATATTTTGTACCAAATGTGTGACATAAACGGCAATTGCGTGCAAAGACCGAACGGAATGCGTTCGCTTTTTTTCGCCATTCGGTATTTTACTGTGTCGGCATTTCACAAAAAACAATTTTTAAAAATTTCAACAAAATTCGTGATTTGCGTGATATTTGATCATACACGCTAAATTGATGCGTGATTTCTATTTTTCAAGCAAATGCGTAACAATCACGCCTAATGCGTGAGGGTTGACAGGGCAGTTATTACATCAGAGACATATAAAACGTGACCTGATCGGGAGAGGATTCGGGTTGTACACAGTACACACATTGCTATCTCATTTGAAGCGCATTTGAAGTTCAGAAAATACAAGAAGACTTGGATAGACATTATGTATTTATATATTTATATGTTATGAATTTATTTTGTAT